CTTCTAGTGTCTGTATGCTTGTTCACCACCTCAGGTCTAGTTTTCACAACTAGGTCAGCTAATGTTTTGCCACTTCTCAAAGATATAACTTTGATTGTTTCCTTTGGGTACTTTTCTGTGTCAGAGAATAGAGTACCATGAGCCCTCTAATAAGTGTAGATTTTAACCACTTACTAGTATCTTTTTGCTTTAGTTTTAGTCTGAAAGTATTGATTCTTGTTCCCAAAACTAATGAAATTGTGCAAATTGCAGGCATGTTAGAGAATTGGACCTCAATGAAGCAATCTAACACAAAAGGTAGTGTTCCACCTCATAAAGGCAAGAAGGAGTGCAGCAGGCCAAAGTGTGGTCCGCATAAATACTTATGTGGCCGCAGATCTGGTACTTGAAGCTCAGAGGATGTTTGGAGAAGTGCAGTCCGCACACTAAATGTGCGGCCGCAAAACATGGTCACACTGACAAAAATTCAAAAAGTTCAGAGAATGTGCAAAATGACCAAGCATGAAACCTTGCGAAAAGTGCGACCGCATGAAGAAATGTGCGGTCGTAGAAGCTAAAGTACAGTCGCAGATTGAATTGTGCGGCTGCAGAAGTCCTCCACTTGCAAAACCTAAGAAAAGTGCGGAAATGACATGGAATTGTGCGGCCGTAGAACCTTCCGAAAGGGCATTTTTGTCAGCAAAGTTTGGGTCACTATAGATAGACGGGAAACACTTTTTAGGGTAAGTTCTGTAATTTTTAATACGGTAGCCGTTATACTTTACTACATTGGGTAATTGGTGACTATTTTGGGTGAATAAACATTAAACTTATCAATTTAATCTTGTTTTATGTCTTAAATTAGTTCTTCTCTTTTGTTTTCTTCAATTTTTACCATGAGTAGCTAGATTTCTCTAGGGTTGTAACCGAACCCTAGTGTGTAAACCTTATGAGTGATTAATTTAATGCTTGTTTATGATTGGGTATTTATTATTTAGCCTTGTTCGTGCATTATTTCGAGAATTAATTGTTGTAAATATTGATTCATGCCTATTTGACTTGGTTCTTACTTTTGAAAGAGAGACTTAGGCTAGGAAAACTTGGCGAACAAAAAATTGGGCTAGTTAGAATTTTGGCTAGTGTAATATAAGGGTTTGAACTAGAGATAGAAAAAACCCGACTTGAGCTCATATCAACTATTTGAAGATATAGCCAATTGGGCTTGAGAAAGCCAATTTGGGCAAAATCACTCTATATTCGAGAGGTATTGAGTGGGTAATTTAGAGTTGAGAGTTATAATACACCCCGATCACTAAAACAAGTATTAATATAATTTACCCATTAGACTAACACCTAGGTGAAGGTTACATCCCTGGGCCTTTTTACCCATTTGATAAAAACATCAAAAACAATTACTCGTTTTCTAGTTTCTTCTCCTTAGTTGATAATTGTTAGTGTTAATTTTAGAAGTAGAAAATAAAAATCCCTTGTTTGGAAGAGCAGTTGAGCTATTTCATTTACTGTCATCAAGTGTACACTTTAACACCTATATTTAACTCCTAGTGGAAATCGACCCCAACTCTTGTTGGGTACCATTCTTCCAACGACCGTTTCCACTCACTATTGAGTGTGGATTGGACGTAGATCACCCTCTTTGATAACAATTTTTCAATCTGCCCCAACGGTCTTTCTAAATTTGGGATGGCTGCCCCCTTTGTATTAAATTTCTCATCTAATTTGCTAATGAACACCTTCATGAGATCTTCCATACTAGATTGCTTTGACTGTTGTGGCTAGTATTGCTAGTACTGATGCCTCAGCTAGTTCTGAAAACCTGGTGGTCCTTGAGAACTCCAAGAAAAACTTGGATGTACTTGTCAAGAAACTTTTTTGTCATATCTTCTCATGTCCTGATAGATCCAGTTGGTAATCTTCGAAGCCAATGCTTCGCGACATACTTCAGTGAAAAGGGGAATGCCCTTAAGTAGACTACATCTTTTGACACTCCATTGTACTGAAAGGCGTTCATGATTTTCTCAAAGTCCATCAAGTGAGTGTTAGGATCTTCATTCACCTTCCCTCTAAAGACATAGTTGTTCTAGATGGTTTGAATCAAACTTTGCTTCAACTCAAAATTATTTGCTACTATTGTTGGAGGTCTGACACTTGACAGTCCGTGATTGTAGACTGGTCTTCCATAGTCACCTAATGATCTCCCAGGCCTGGGGCCATATTTTCAAACCGGTCTTCAACCAGGAGTCAATTTAGATTGAAACTTCGACCCCCATCCTCTTCGACAGTCTCATCAACAGATCTAAGGGCTCCTTTAGCTGCTAACCGTGTAGCTTGTTCTCTCTGTTGTACTGCCTCTGCAGCCAAGTCTACTCTATCATCACTGTTCTTAGCCATGTAATCTTGGGTTGAATATTTCCCTAAGAAATTTTCTATGAATCCTCTTTCTTTTCTCAGTTATCGCTGGTGTTTTTCCAACTCCAGTTCGTAGGGCATCACTTCCTTTGAAGAAAATCGATTCATACACCAGAGAAGCTAAGCTTGTATCCTGCACACAAGTGTGAACATGTGAATACAATAAAGTAAAATTGGTTCCTGAATTAGTACTAAAAACTATTTTTAAACACTATTAATTTTCAATCTCCGGCAACTGCGCCAAAATTTGGAGAGCGCAAAATACAATACAAAATTAATGCTCGCTAGTCAAAGATAGTATAGTTAAATTATCATCTCCACAGAGATTGGATTTAAACAGTGTTAGAATAATCTTTAGTTAATTACTATCCAGAAAAAATAACACTTGATTGAATGATTATAAACTATGATTAACTACTAAAAATTAAGCAGTTATCAATTGATCACGAAAGACAACAGTTAAGCAACAAAGAGATATAGTGAGAGAAATAGGGGTAGTTGACTAGACAGGTGCAAGATAATTGACTAGGGATCCAATTCTTGAATTAGTTCACTCTATAATACTGTTGGTTCTTATGAATTCACCAGATGATTAGATTACACTTGAAGTTAAGGTTCCTCTTTTGATTAAACGTTAATTTCAGCAATTAATCCAATTGAAGCGCGGTGAACAATTGCAATGAATAAAATGATGGTTTTAGTCTAAAGGGCAACTTCTCACGAATATTTTCCTATTTTCTAGTTCGATTAATAATTCAAGAGGCTCTTTCGATTACCTAGTTGAATCACGAATTTAAACTAGAGCATACGATGTAAAGAAATTCAATATAAAGCTCCTCTTTCAATTAAGAAAAATAATGAACAACTTCACAATACGATTTAAAGCTCCATCGATTAATTCAAACAATTATCAAGAATCGAAGTCCTAATTAAGTTATCAATACACCATATCTGTCAACTCCCTAAGAGAAATTACTCCACAACAATGGAAAATTTATCTAAGGTTTAAAGACATAGAAAACATCAATGATAATGATTCGATACAAACTCTCGTATTGCACCGATTGTTTGTCGAATTCTTGATAAATTCTTGTGTCTTCTTGCCTTAGTTGCTGCTCAAATCCTTCGCAGGTCAAAAGTCCCTTCAAAAACATATTTTTGGTATATTTATACCGTGTAAAAGTGGGTCCGAAAGAAACTACCATTTCCAACCCGAAACAGAAAAATACTCTGGAAAAAATGCAGAGGCGCGCCGTACCTAGCGTCGCACCATACGGCACGCTTGTGGGGATTATCAGAGAGCTTGTCAATCGTCTGCCAGGAATAATTTACACTGCCGCGCCGCACCCCATGCGGCGCGGTAGTGCAGTTTTCTTAGAGTAAATTTTTCGTGCACTTTTTGATATCCAGACGTGGTCCTCGACCCCCGAACGCGATTTCAGTTTAATTCCTTGGGCATTTACTCAGACTTCACAACTCCAAATTGTTTGATTTAGCTACAAATTATCTTTTTAACTCAGAAACATTTCCTGCAAGGCATAAAACACGTATAGAGTATAATTCACTACCATTTAAGCTCAAATACACGTAAAGTGCAGTAATTAGAGTGCAAAACGGGGCTAAAATATAGGTTTCTAGACTACCATCAAATACCGTCAAACTATTAGAAATAGATCATTTTTATCCTCCGTCAAATTTTGGTATAAAAAATATCCTCGCTGCTAGATTTTTGGACCACACTTAAATATCTAAGGTTTTGTAATGTTCATGGCGTGAAAAAAGGATAGGCCCAATGAGATGGCATACAATCAAATAGTTCAAATTTGAAAGTCCGATGCATTAATCTCAAAATCAGAATGATCATTTTAAAAAGGAAAAGTGATTAATGAATGTGATAATTACCATATCGTAACACGTACATATGGCGGAATACTTCCACTCTAGTTTTGCTCCAAATATTTAAGAGATCAATAGTTTCACTTCTAATAAATTTGATGTAATTATATGCAGCTAGAAATTAATTAAACTGCGAGATAGAGTACCGATCTGAATAGGAATTCCTTTTAGAGACAGAACAGTGACGCAGCTATACATGTATCTTAGGATGCTTATTTTGGTAAAAGATTTATCCATATAAAGTGCATAATTTCAAACTCCAAAAGGAACTGAATAAACGTGTGAGTATAAGACAGTTAATCTCTATATTACCATTTCTGTACAATAACACTGGCAATTAAATTAAAGCAAGATTCGAGTTTTTGCAATATCTTAATGAATTTATTATTTCTAGCAAAGTTGATATGATCCTATGTAGAACCCCATTAACTAGGAGTTGGTAGTTTGAATTTCTAACTTGTAACGCCATGGAATGATTAACTTCCCATATTTGGAGGATTTTGTATATTACACCTTGTCTATTTAAAGATCTTTTCTCTTCATTCTTTCATGAAGTACCAATTAAGAACATAAAGATTTTAGTATAGAGACAATGGATGCCTTTTCAATAAAAAAAACCATGCTCTTCTGAGGCCTCTAGCATCTCTGCTGCCTCTGAAGAGATCGATACAAACACGAAGAAGATGAAAGGTAAAGTTATGGATTTAGGATCTGAGTTAAAGCCACATGAATTATCATCTGCTGGTGCACTTCTTGATCTTAAAGTCCATAATGGTGCCTCAAATCTTGAACTCAATCTTTTTAATTCAACTTCTAGCATGAAAAACTCGGCTCCTGCTAGTGAGTCTTCTAATGAGGCAACGCCTAAAACTAGGGTTTTTGCTTGCAGCTTCTGCGAGAAAAAATTCTCCACTTCTCAAGCCCTAGGAGGACATCAAAATGCTCATAAACCAGAGAGAGCTTTGGCTAAAAGGCGAAACGGACTTGTTGATGTTGTTTCTCCTTTTGGCCCTCCCAATTATGACCCTTACTATAATCCCTACTCAAGTTACACCACACATTTGCCATTTCATGGTTCTTTTACTAGTAGATCATCCCTTGGTGTTCAAGGTTATTCTTCCGCTATTCATAAGCCTTCTCCCTACAATCCATGGTCTTCTTTTTGGGGTTATAATTATCGATTTAACCCCGAAAAGTGGTCATCATCAAGCTCATCACTTTTTAGGACAGAAAATAATCTTGGAATTGGAGGTGAGAATTCCCTCAAGTTTGAGAACAAAAATAGTGCAAAGGGTTTCAGCGTAAGGGATTCACCAGTTAAGGTTGACGATAATCGTGGTGGAAATAACAAAAGGAAGATGGGATTGGGAGAGGAAGATGCAGAAAAGAATGAAGAAGACACCGAGATTGATTTGGATCTAAAGCTTTAATTTAATTTGTTGCTTTGAATTATTTTCTATTTCATATGGAGTTCTTATTTTTTGCATTGCTTTTATTAAACGTGTGATTTCGTTTTGTTGTCAGTTTCTTGTACTTTCATTTGAGTCCATTGAATCATTCTCTTTACCTTTTGCTCCTTTTTTGGAAATTTCAAGCAGCTTAATGTTAGAACAATGAGATGTATGTCCTTCAGAATATTACTTAACTATATTATAGAATAGTGGCTTTAAGGTCAATTACAATATCTCGGATAAACGTACCAACCCCTACTAAAAATAAGTGTGCAAAAAGAACAAAGTATTCAGATACATTTTTGTGTCTGTTTTGGTAACTAGCCTTTTATAAGTCTAAACCATCATTCCCATTTGTAACAAGACAAATCTTTAAATTGAAACCCATGACTGTTAAAAACATACACATATTCGAAAAGAAAAGGTAAGATTGTACTGGCAATGATTGAATCATAACGTGGAAAATCTCGTTCTGGAATTTGCTTTAATTCTTCTCTAAGGGATCTGAAATTTGATATTATTTACCTTCCTTCAAGAGGGTAGACTAAGATCGTTGTACGATTCTTCCCCTTAATTAGAAATTCTTCATCAGACATACATTTTGGAATCTGCAATAAAATACCTCACCATTTTAAAATCTTTGATTTTTGATAACTTTTGAAAACTTGCATATAAAAGAGGTATTTTTTAGAGGTGGCTTAACGATATTGGTGGCCGAACCAAACCTCAATAAGAGGCCTTAAATTTATTTAATAAAATTTAATATATTATTTTTGTTTTTCTTCTTATAACAATGGTATACCGACCATCTTGTACGTATTTTAATCATTCATTCATTCATTTTCCTGCTAGCTAGCTCTCACCATTGCAAATATAAGATAATTCTACTCACTAAGGCGTTGATAAATTTTTTATAAGAAACATATATTGACAGTTAAGATAATATTCTTAGAAATTTCATAATCTAATAATCTCAAATTTGTACCACTAAATAGAGGTCACCATAACTTCATACATTTAAAATAGTTCAAGCCTTTTTTCGAAGTGACAAATGGCTTAATCCACTTTTTACAAGAAATGATCAACTCTAAAAGATACTACAAGAAACTTCGTTCTTTTATTATCAAAATCATCATCAAATTATTTATGGAGGAATTTATATATAATACAACTTCTTTAACGCTTATTTATAAAAGTTACAACTGCTTTTAAAAATTTTCACAAAATACAATTTATTACAATGTTTTAACTTTTTAATTAGATTACTACGTTCATAAACTCCTAAAATTTCTCCCCTAAACGTGGGACACTGGGACAAACAAATTGTTAAGTGGTCAGTTACACATTTCCTAATTTTTTAGACTCCTATAATATCTCAACCATCCCTGTATTAATCATTAATACAATCAAAACAAATTCACTCTCAAAAGAAACTTGCCTTTTCAGTTTTAAATTATAGAAGGTTTTCGTTTTTTTTCTCCCTTACAACCTCGGCAAACCATACAAGGCTTGGGATTTTTGCAGCCGAAAGTGTTCGCTTTCCCCAAAGTTTTTTTGACAATGTATGATTTTATATTATATATACTATATTGTTATTGTATATGTTAATAATATATATATTTTATTATATACATTTAATTATATATACATTATATTTGTTTCCTCCAAGTTTGCTTTTTCTTTATCTCTCCATCAGCAAAATGTCTTTACTTTCCCCAAGTTTTTATATGATGTATTATTGTA